CTCCAAAACCACATTTGGCTAGCATAAGCTTTTAGTCACAAACTCTCTGTTTTTGTATGGCTTACTGCTCACAGACCTTTTTGTGTGGGTTTTGTAGACCGCAGTCAATCAGGTCATCCTTTAACAGGATGAGCCTCCCTAACGCTCTGAACACAAGGAAGGTTGTGCAGATCTCATACTCATACAGAGCAAGCCATAAAGTGATGATCCTTCTAAGTTCATGAGCATTGGTCCTGAAGATCTGTATCGTTCTAGATTTAAAATACCCCAGCGTTCTTGCCAGCATTAGAGAGATCCATATCTCCATTTTCCAGGTTGAAGGTACAGATTTGATACTGCTGTTTGTACATGATGGATGGCAAAGATAGTGACGCAAACTTGCCAGGGCTGGCATGAACTTGGATTGGCATCCTTAACAAATTAAGTGAATAAATAAAATTTTGACATCCAAGTTCCTTGTGGATGAGCTCATTCTGTACTGTTTTCTGGTACAGAATGATTTATGAATGAAGTTTCAAATTAGTTTATAAAATTCCCAAAGTATTGGTTGTGGCCCACCCAGTGGCTGTGCTTCAGATGTCCTGGCTGAATCTAACACACTGACTTTTAAGTAAAATAAGAATTTCTTTTTTTTAAAAGCAAGTGGAAATTAATTGCATATTACCATATTATACCCATTCAATAAATGTGTATGTTACAGAATGAGACTGATTGTATTCTTTTCACTGGAACTTACAAAAGACAAGTACAGTTTAGCTGTACAAAGTTGGCATGCCTGTCTTTTTCCTGGGGATGTAGTATTAAATTTTAATGGAGAAACGAGAGAACATGGAGTAGTGATGTGCTTTTGAGTATGTGAATTATCTCTAGTTAGACTGAGTTTTCATCGCTACAGTGGTATATTTAATGTAAAACAAATAACATTTAAAATAGTTGCCATGTTTTGAGAATACCGATGGGGGAGGCAATTTTATTGTGTATGAGTAATGTTCATCCAGGTTCTCCTGAGAGATCACCTATCTACCTCACTCGGCAATTAAGCTCCCTAAAATATGGAAAACAACCACACAGAACTGTGCTATAATAATATTGTTATTCAGGCGGCATGCCACTTACACCAGCAAGCACAAAAAAATAACAGTGAAAGACAATTTACCTAGTAACTGTTTGAAAAACACAAAATAATGAAAGTTGAGCTCTATGTGCCAAGTGAGCAGAGATATTTGTTTTCTGTAAATATGAACGGCTAAAATTAGTAATAGCAATTACTTTTAATATTTCAGTTGCATCTAGAGACCTCAATGGGGATTAGGGTTTCATTGCTCCTTGGCACTGAAGTGGAGACAGTTTAGCAGACAGTGTGTTTCCTGATGAATTTATGATCTTCATGACAAACAGTTTTAAGGAGATAGAGAGAATTGCAGATTGCTTCTTTAAATAGCAAAGTTTAACCTCTTTACTATGTTATGTTATTCACATTAATGGAACAAAACTAATTTGCTCTGTCTTTGATGAATTGAGAGTGTTATCTCCCAGAATGGCACTACTACGATCTATCCATTGCAGGTTTTACAAATCAAGAGAGATCTACAATCAACCTGTGCTGTTTTTATAGCTATCTAATGCATATAATACATGGGATTATCCATTTTATGATCTGTTAAGGGACAGAACAGCATATTTAAAGATTGTATGTGCAGCTTCAGAAATTTACATATGTATCTGTAATTCCTAGTTTAGGGAGAAAATGCTCAGTACGATAGGGAAGTAAAGTATTTTTTTGCAAGGTCCCCTGTGTTTCTGCATTCATTTGGAACATGGACGCATGAAGTAACAGGAATGCTGTTAGCGTTCATGGCCTGGGAGGAAAAAAAAGGTATTAGTCTCTTAGCTTTTTGACAAAAGTTTTTTGGAAGGCTGGCTCATCCTTTGAGTTGGACTAGATGATCATTGTAGGTCTCCTCCAACTGAATTATTCAATCCTATCCCCTCATCTCAGGCTTTTCTCTCACTACTGTTGATATTTTATATTTACATCTAGCAGGATAATTTAATCAGAAACTTTTTTGACAGGACTCTGAGCTTTCCTCCCTGCTCTCTAGAAGATAGCTCGGGAAGAGGAATCCTAATAATTTTAAATATGGTTTACATTATGTGCTGCTACAGGGTACAAGATTTCTGTCTAAATCTGTTCTTTAACACACTCATCTTTCACTAGAGCAAAAAATACACATGTAGTCTAGTCTAGATGCACAGATAAGAGCTTGTACCCTCCTGGAAGACTGAAGTTGTCTTTGAGGCTTGGACTAGTTAAAGCTATGATAAAAACTTTTCACAGCAGGATGTAGGAACTTGCTATCTCAATTAAATTAGAGCATGATCCAATTCTAAGAGAGTTAAGTCCAGCATTTCTGTGCACAGTCTCCTAAATAAGTAGTTCTGTTTTTCAAATATGTGCTAAATGGGAAAGGATTTTTCTCTTCTCCAGGTTTTGGAGTGCAGGCTTGAGACCTGGAGCTGGGATAAGAGATGCTGTGGAGGTTGAGTAGAACCAGTAGCAGAGATGGGAGGCCTGAAAATGCAGCAGTTAGAATGACATAGTAGTCTAAATCGCTGAGCTTCAATCGTCTTTTGGGGACTGTGTAAGGTCTTCAGAATTTAAAGCTAGCAGATGACAAATTGCTAGCTGAAGTTGTAAATTTAGATGTTAGGATCAAGTATATAAAGCTAAACAATTCCTATTCTGGTTACTCAGCAAGCAATGCATTTTTTAAATGTGAAATATCAATTACAAGTAAATGAAATAACTTTCTATAGAAAATTTTCTTCTGTAGGAGGTCAGCCAATCCAGAAATTGTCCATGTTTGTAGTCGCGGCCCACAGGCATAAATTCATATAACCTGAGGATGCCCACAGCCTAAGGAAGGAATTGGGTCAACTAATAGTAGTTAAATTTTACCCAGTGGTAACTTACTTAGCTGATGCCTGAGGCATGGTCTGGTGTTTGCTGGAGCATTACAGCTGGTGGCTGTGGGCATTGCCTCTCAGACAGGGCTTGTCCCTCCGCAGCAGAGTCAGCAGAAACAACCGTATGCCCGTGCCGTTGCTTTACTTCAGGGTATATCAGCAAAATCAACTTTTTCTTTGTGGTTTAGGCTAAGACGCTGGGATGTGGCGAGAATTGCTGGAGCGTGGGGATCCATAGCAGGGTCTCTTCTGCTGATGCTGCTATGGGGGGATAGATAACTCCAGCTTCATGGTGGTGGTAGTCAGCTGAGAATGGCCACATCTTACAGCAGGTGCCCTCGCTGCACAGTCACTTACCCCATACCACACATTCATTGCATATATTATTCCATCTGTGTGTCATCAGTCAGTTTAGAGAAAAATTAGGTTTCTAACAGCCTGTGTGTTGTATGAAACTAAATTATACTTTTCTGCCTTAGGCATGTCAACGTACCAAATCGAAGGGATAGTGATTGTTCTTACGCGGTTGTATTTTTAAGTTCTAGAAATGGCAGAAGTTTTTTGAATAAGCTTCAAGAAAAGCTTGGCTCCTAAGTCTGGACTGGACTGCAACTTGGCTGGTTGACCATTCTCCAGAAATATAGCTCTGGAAAAATTATAGGCTGAAAAACTTTTTTCAGCTTAAGCACATTTCCACCTTCCTGCATCTGTTTTTACATGCTACGACTATGGCATTTGGGGCCAAGTTATGCATATTCCAGAGTTGATTTGCATGGATATATAGACCAGCTCCGTAGCAGAAAAACCCTTCTGCCCTATGATTTGTCTTGAACAGATACCTGTTGTGAACAGAGCGATTCTTTTGAAAATGTGTGTCAACACAACAGGTTCTTGCGGAGTGCATGTGTGCACACACAAAGCTTCTCTGCAGTAGCAGTGCCAGCTAATTTCCAAGCGTTACTAACTCTGTACTCACTCAGAGTACTGTCACAATCAGTGGTAGAAATGTTATGGACAGAATGTAAGGTTGGTCCCAATGAGTACTCTTATTTTGGTCCTTTGTGTTCCTTTTTCAATTGTTTTACTCCCTAAATACAGGTTATTTATTTTGTCTCTTACCCACATAGTTATCGCTATCAGCAGTAAGTCTCCCAGTGATTAGTGTGGCTATCTGAGTCTCCAAGAAAAGCCACATCACCACTATGACTACTTCTGCTGATATTAATTTTAGAAATGTGTTTATGGATAAACCTAAGGACCAACCCTTTTTTAATGGGAGAACAAACTGCAAACAGTGCTGTTTTAAAAACATGTTTGGTTCAGATGCTACTTAACGTGCTTGTTTCCTTGCCTTCCCTTCCAGGTGATAGAAGACAACACCGGCGTTCGGAGGGTGGTGGTTACCCCCCAGTCTCCGGAGTGTTACCCTCCTAGCTATCCTTCGGCCATCTCTCCAACCCATCACTTACCTCCATACCTGACACACCATCCCCATTTTATTCACAACTCTCATACAGCTTTTTATCCTCCTGTCACTGGACCTGGGGACATGCCACCACAGTTTTTCCCACAGCATCATCTTCCCCCAACAATATATGGAGAACAAGGTGAGCTGGAAGGAAGGTACTGGCGTTTCAGTTTTAAGGGCTAGTGAAACCGAGAGTAGCAGTGAATTGGAGAACTTGTAGAGTGGCTTTGTCTACATGGATGGAGCTTCCTTCTTTAACATCCAGAGCAGGGGGAAGTAGCCATCCAGAGTGCAGCAACACATGGCAATCCTACGTTGTGACACTAGGTTCCAGAAACAAAACCAATTTTAACTTAATTTGTAAATACTGTCAGGGAAAAAATGTCTCATCCCATGCTCCAAACTAGAGACATGAGTCATGCCGGTTGCTCTTGCTGTGTCACGATGCAGCATTGTGCAGAAAACCTTGGCTTGGGAATGAGGATGGATACGGAGGGCTGGATTTGAGCATGGCTTGCTGCAGTCTTTTCCAGTGGGAAAAGCCAGATACCGCTTCCTGTTGATGGTAAAGTGCTTTCTGCCCCCCAGCTGTGGTTTTCCAAGAAATAACAGGCATTTTCTGTTTGTTATTCTAGTTGAGACTGTGCAGTAAGTCACTGAAAAGCATTGTCCGATACCAAAGGGTAGCATGGCAACCCTAATCGGGCCATGAGTAAATAATTGCAAGAAAAGGAGTGAAAGGGGCATATTTCTGTCCGAACTATGCACTGTTGTGTGTCTGCCACCCTGGAGATAAGCCTGTGTAATCTGAAAGAGGGTGTTAACCAAAAAAGTAATCCACAAAGCTACTTGAGATGTTTAACATGGAAATCAGTTCAGGATTCATGGTTTTACATTACTGCTGAACTGCCTGGACTTAAGACCCTTGTTAAAGAATATGTTTAAGCCATATTGCCAAAAGTGAGGTTCTGCTGGAGTGGGAAAGAAGAGGCAGAAAGAGAGAGAGGGAGGTATCCGTTGATGCTACCTCTTGAAGTGTCTGTTGACCAACAGATCTCATTTTCTAGTGAGGAACGCACCCTTAGAGCTGACATTTAACTTCATCGTACTGGGAGGGGAGGAAGTGGGAAGCTCAGGAAACCAGCAGGATGGTGTAACCAACCAGGTACATAGGGGCGGCCCTTTTCCCCTGAAAAGGGAACAGGACAGTTTGCCAAATTGCTTGACAAAGTCTTGCGTGCAAACGTGGTAGTGGGCAAAGTGAACACAGAGCTACTTGTTAAGTAGGTGTTGAATATTTCTGTAGCCTGGAGATACCAAGAAGCCAATTCAACTTTTAAAAAAAAAAAACAATATATCCTTGGTTGCTTTACTGGAATGACCTATACCCGTAACACTGAAATAATTGGTGAATGCTGTACTGGTGAGTATTAATCCACAATTTCCCATTTGCTGTAAAATGGCTTATACTTCAAATAAAAATTGCATTTATTTGTAGCATGCTGGTTTTAGGCAGTTAGTTGCTGCGAGAATGCAAATAGGATCATGTAGCTAGAGAAGGAAAGATGAAGGCCAAGATGCACTGAAATAGCAAATCAGGATAACAAAGAAAATCTGACTAGTTGAAACAACTTGGAAAATTATAATACAGTATACATGGCAATCTCAACTTACAATGACGACTTCAAACTGCTAGGTAGGATGCTTGCTAGCTTCAGAAGTTTGTACAATAATTTCTGAATGGATGTAGGAAAAGATATGAAGAATATATCGAGTGTCAATTGTTATTTTGCTAACAAAGGCAAAACAGTTGTTTTGGCATTAATTTGTTCAAGCCTTGGACTCAGTGAAGTGCGAAAAGGAGGACTGAACTCTAGAGAAAAGCAGACAATATTCTGATTCCTGCAAGCTGACCTGCCTTAGGTTAGAGATGGTCGTTCTTGGAGGGAGAAAGTGGGGATTGTATTTAATGAAGTGTGTCTGAAATGTACATATGATATTTATGATATTTCTCAACATTTTTTGGGCAACTTCCTAAAAAGCTTCCACTTCATGATGCACGTCTCTCCTTAGGCAGGCACAATTGACACAATGGTAAACTCTATTTATACTGAGAAATTAAATTGCATGTAGTCAGCGAGGGCAGCCTGAAACCAGGGCATCTCAGCTTATTCTGTCCAGTCAGGCCCTAGGCAAGAAACTATTAAATTACTGTGAACTTATGAAGGCTTTCTCCAAAATACCAGTCTCCTTGGATTTTTGCTTGAAATCTGTGGCCCTGAAACACAAAGACTGAAAAGGAAGGGAAAACCTATCACTCTAATTGCTGTATTTTACACACTTATCCAAGGAATTATGAAATCTTATCAACACAGGAGCACACTTAATACAAAAAAATTATCAATCCTGCAGAAAACTTTCTTAAGAAAAAAAAAAAGGTTTGTTGTGAAATTTGGCTCCAGGAAAATCTGGAGTCATTTCATTTGGAGATGATGAGGAATTCGGTTTTCTGAAAAAAAAATCAGTGATTTTATTGTTCTGAGTTAACGTGGCTGAATTCTTTCATTTCAGAAATCATACCACTATATGGGATGTCCAGCTATATTACCAGGGAAGATCAGTACAGCAAACCACAGCACAAAAAACTCAAAGACAGGCAGATTGATCGCCAAAACCGTCTGAATAGTCCTCCTTCATCCATCTACAAAAGCCATATAGGCAGCTGCACAACTGTATATAATGGCTATGCAAAGAGCCACAATGGAGCAAGCAGCGGAGGCGGCGGCGGGGGGGCTCCAGCAGTAAAGAAACCCGAGCGCAGAGCAAGAAGCAGCCCAAAGTCAAATGAACAAGACCCACATGGTAAAGACAGTTTTATTTATTTTTAATTCCTTTTTATTGCACCTTTCCGGCTTACGACCGCCTGTATATGGATCTAGTAACTACGCCAAAAAACACTACCACCCACACATAAAGACAGTGTTAATACAGTGTGAACTTAAATATAAATGTTGAGCTTGCTATACTGTATTTGTTTTGTAAGATGAACTGGTTGCCTCCCCATCTTTCATGATTTCTCACTGGTAGATGCTGCATCATTCTCTTTTTGTCTGTTGGAAACAGAAATGCATTTTATGGACAAGTTCTTGGTTTTGTTTTGCTTCTCGTACAGGCGTCTTGGCACTTCACAAAAATGCTTATGGACAATTGAGCTATAACCAAAACCTGACTGCTTTGCATCTCCTAGGCAAATGTAGTAAACTTAGTAGAAAGTTTAGAGATGACTGCTGAAAAACCAAATTTGTTTATGTGAAAGTTCAATGGAAGTACAATTAGTTGAAATGGAAGAAATTTGAGAAGAAATTGCTTCATCTTAACCATTGGAATTAGTAGTCAAATCTGGCTACGTTTGAAATTTTTTTTTTCAACATTTGCAGAGGCTTACCATTTAAAACATTGAAACTTTACAGTAAAACGTTAGGTTATTCATCTAATCAAATCTCATTTATCACAAGCCATTCTGCACAGAGCCAGTTCTACTTAAATTTAGCTCAGTAACTTGTTATAATCCATTATACCTTTCAGCCTTTCTCTTCTCTGTCTGTCTTTTTGCTGACTGCTACAACTGCAGCTGGCTGAACAAACTTTTATGTAGTAAGCAAGCTTATACTCGGCACGTCTAGGATATTTATAATGTGGCACACTTTGAAATCTCTTGCGTGATTTTATACATGCAACATAGGTTTTCCATTATCTGTATATTGTGTATATTTATTTGGCTGTGTACTTTTACTTGTGAGACATAACTGAAAGAAATACTCATGAAAAGTAACTCAATTGATAGCCGAAGGGGAATAAAATGCTGCTGGTATGGTAAGGAATAAGGATTTGCAGCTGTGCTTCAGGGTCTTTAGAGTTAATGAGGAGCTGTATTTGGGAGTGCTTTAATCCAAGAAAATGAATCGCTGTATTAGACTTCCTAATTATTTCTTGTCAATCAGCTTATATGACCTTTAATATTCTTATTTAGGTTTGGCTATATTTTTTTTTTTACTCTAGTCTGTGGTGGAATACATGAGGTGTTTGAAGCACCTGCGTGAAAGACCTGGAATAAAGTATAGTCTTAACAGCTAAAACACACAATATAGCTTCAGTAGGTACTGAGTCAGCCTGGATGATCACTTTTAAAGTAATCTAGATTTGATTTAAAAATGGCTAGTTTAAGGGTTTCCTGCAACCCTTGTATTTGTCTGATTTTTTTTTTTTTTCTCTCTTGGAGTAGTCTGCTGTGCTCCAGCTGAAGAGTGTGAGCACTCTTAAAATGCCAAGAAAATCAGTGTAGTCAGGGCTACGGCATGTCCAGTCTGTCAGCCAGAGAGTGCCTTAAAACTGAGCACAGTGAATGATGGAGTCTTCCCCAAACTGTGAAAAAGTCTGTAACAGGAAGCCGTGCAAATAATTATCAGTTGTCCCACCCTCCTGGTAAATCCAACTCACTGGTGTTTTAAAATTAGGTTCTGCATTTGCACCTGGAGATGGCAGCCCAGTGGCCAAAGCAGGAATAGAAGAAATTTTTTTCATATTAAAAGGAAAAAAAATACTGTGGACTCAAATGTGAGCTTTTTCACATCAAAGTCTATTATTGCAGTCATATGTGTATACCTATATGCAAATTTCTGCTGAAAGGTTGTCACAGAGGTTTTGTAACGGCTCTCACCAATCAGTGCCCTAAAATAAGTTCCCACTTGATATTTATAAGCTTCTAATCATACTTGCTGCTTTATATTTACTGTATCTGTTTCTTCTTGAGTTATTTAGGGATTTATTGATTGATACCTGACTAACATGGCCGTACACGTTAGGGAGGTGAGAGTTAAAAGCAACCTGGGAACAGTTTTTAATTTTGATTCATGCTGCTAAGATGACAGTGTGTTTAGAATAGCCAAGAAAAAGAATGTGTCAGAAGCAACAGGCAGCAGCGGCGTCTAAACTTACACATTTTGTGGATGTGTATCAGCTCAAACCTGCTGATAGTTACAAATTTGATGGTGCTGTGTGGCTGCTTCCAAAATTGCAGAAGAGCCTGGAAAAACAATTTAAAAAAAAAAAAGTATGTGTATATATATATAAAAAATATGTAGAGAATAAGAGTCTTTATTTAGAAAACCACTTAGCCAAAAAACTGTTAAGAGGCAAGTAGGAATGTACGAATGTAGACTAAAACCTGGAGTAAGGTGAAGGAGAACTGAAGCTGATGTGTTTGTTTGCCTGGATTTCTTAATTGAGATCGTGGTGTGTTTTACAGCATATCATTTCATATCTGGTGGCGGGGGCGGGGTGTTTTTGCAATGGTAGCTGACACGCTTATTTGGGGTGTTTGGATGTCAGAGCAATCCAGTGAGCCAGATCCTAGCAAGCTGCTGTCACCGAAACCGTCATGAGCCTTAGGAGCCCTATACGCAGCTGGAGCAAACACTCGCACAGCCGAAATTCTGGTCACTGGAGAAAACAGCGTGCATTAGTACTGCAGCACGCCGTGGCGATTGCTTGCCTTAGGGACTGGACTTTTCAGAAGCAGAGCATTGGAAGCTGCCTCGGTGCTGGGAGCGTGGGTAGGAGCTCGCCGCTGGCAGGGAGGGGCTCGCCCACC